GAATTAGCCATAAAACAGTATAACTAGACATAAAATATCTGCAAAGATGTTAAATTTAGAAGGGTAATTGGAATATTCAAAAAACTGACTACCTAAAGAGTAGAACTGTATTTTCTAGAAAGTTATACTAATTCTTTGTAAACTCTCGTTTCATTCACAGTTTTCTACCCACCTGGGTCATGCCAGCACTTCTCAGACCAGGCTAGATTCTGATTCTCCAGTAATCATCACTAGCACAGCTGCAGGATCTGGTGTGGCATCAACTCAAAAACTGGTAACATGCTAATATTAACTTTTTTTATTTTTTAAGGCATAATTATAACAAATAACTAGTTTGGGTATCATTTCTGCATTTTAAGAGCAATACTAGTATGTAGCTGAGGAAACTGCAATAGTGTTTACATAGCTGTGCGAAGACACTAGCTTGCAAATGCTCATTAATATTACATTTACGTTAGGAGCAATTTTAAATTATTTTTGGAAGGGGGAGCAGGGAAGTGTGACAAAATGAAGAGTAGAAGAGTGCAAATACACTTAAGTAGGGTGCAACAGGACAATTGGTGTTTCATATGATAACGTTTTGTTCTAGAGAGAATATGCTTTGCTTTAGCATCCTGCTGTTTTGAAATGTCTCTCCTGTTCCCTCTTCTGTATTTGTTGCTAAACTGTCCTTTTTACTTTTCTCCATTGTCTTCTGCATTGCTCTCCTTTTTTTTTTTTCCCATCTGATACAGTTTGCTACCGGCTGTGAGAGAAAGAAGGTTTTTTATATCTGCAATGTCACTGCTAGAAAGACTTTCCAGGGTGATGGAAGTGCCTGCAGCTGTCACTTGAGTATGCAGCCTGTGAGCAAAGCTAAACTATCCATGCTGCTTGATTTTTGACAAATTAGCCTTACTCCCCTCAGGACAGAAGTCACTTGCTCAAAACACTATCTCATACTTAGAGTGGAAAAAGATGGAACAAACCAGGTTGCAGCTAGGTGGAGCAAATTCAGTCCTATATAACATAACTGCATTACCTGCAACATCCTATGTCCTGTTTAGGCACGTGGCTGATAAAACCAAGCAGACATACTAGAGCATTGTAAATATTATGTTTGGCATTTTTTACCAACTAATATTTAATTTATTTGTAGCCCATGGCGAAAGTAATAACATCTGCTCAACAGAAAGCAGGAAGAACAATCACTGCTCGAATCACAGGCCGAGCTGACATGGGACAAAAAGCCAGAATTAGTGGTAGTTTAGCAGTGATGGGAGTTGCTCCACCCATGAGTTCAGTCATTGTTGAAAAACACCATCCAGTCACTCAGGTAAGTCAGAATTATGCTTGTAATACTATTCTTATTACAACACAGCTGGTAGTATTTTAAAGAAAAATGACCACCGTGAATGGACATTAGACAAGGCTCAGACTTGAATCTTGTTTAAAATAACAAACAGGACTGTCTTTGGGCTGGGTAGAAGGCGTTGGTGAGGAGAGGAAGTAAATATTGCCACTTTGATCTATTTGTCTTGTTTCTGTATTTGTCTTGTTTCTGTAGTAATTATTTCACAGGTATCGTAGTCTTGGCTGTCTCTTTCTTGGTTGGCTCTTCCATGAGCATTCCTCTTTGCAGAAGTGGTCAATTGGCACAGCAACATTTGGTGTCATCACCTTGCAACCACAGTTTAATGGTGTATAGCAGGAAGAGTGACTGAACAAGAGGTGGTAGAGATACAGATTAGGTTGACAGGCTGACTGTAGCAAATTATTGGGGAAAAAAGTAAAACTCTTGTCTGGAGGCAATCAAATTCATCATGCCTGCTGCTTGTTGTATTTTGAGTCTTACCCCCCTGCATTTATCCTGAAGAAAACACTGAAATAAGTGCCTTAATAGGGTATGAAACCAGCGTTCACAAAGACTGTAAACAGTGGCCTAAATGGCCTAGGCAATTGCTACACTTGTATACCAATCTGAGCAAAAACCAGTTTTGACTGGAGGTGTATGAAACAGTCGAAGATGTTGTTTTTACATTTTAACCTGTAAATTAGGATCTGAGTTTACTCTGTGTTATCTGAAAGTCCAGTTTCTTTTCAATGATTCTGCTGGAACAAGCAGACCTACATCAGGTCCTTTAATTTGAGCTGGAGATACTGGTAACTGTCCATGTGAGGGATGTTCTGCATTCATTTATTTCCTGCAGTGAATCAGAGCCCTGTGACAGGCTGCACACAGCTTTTGAGAATTTGGGCTCCTAAGCAGAAGTTCATATTTAAATTGGGTCATTAGGGGGTTAGAGGTTTGGTGTCAGACTTATTTCATTAAGAACAACTTCTGGATTCAGATTGTGTGACAAGTATCTGAGCTACTGTACCAAAAACTGGCTTCTGAAAATGTAATAAACGTGACAGTTCCAGAAAAATATTCTATATACTTTTTCTACAAATAAATGCCTAAGTGGAAGTCAATGAGACTGAGTTTTTCTCTTGAATTAATCTGACAGGGGAGAGAGTTTACCCTGATTAAAAGCAGAATACTGCTGTTTATTGCAGTAAGGTGGCTAGTTTTTTGGGTAGAAAATTAATTGCTGTTAAACAAATGCAAACCTTTTCCTTTCAGAGACCACAGACTTTTCACAGACTTCCTCATAGCAAATACTGAACTTCAAAAGGAATGTTGGTATGATTAAATTAGCACTGCAGAGGAAAATTCTGAACAATTTGGTAAAAAAACAAATAAACCAACCCTGAAATAAGATTGAGGTGATAAAAGCTCAGAGTACCTAGTTAGTTGGAAGTTTAGCACTTTGTTCTAAAAAGCATATTACAGATAAGGAAGGAAAAAAAATACTCACTTTATTAATTTTTTTTTTTTGAGAAGTGTATTTCAGTTTGCTGGATTGCAAATCTTTCTGTTTAAACTACAGCTCACTTAGAGCTATTTTCATGGGAATTTTTTGTACTGCTAAGTGTACAATCACTTATGTATCTGATTACTTTTCAGCAAACCATATCCCAAGCCACTGCTGCTAAATATCCTCGAACTATGCTCCTTTCTTCTGGTTCTACCACTGTGAGACCTGCAGGACAAGTTGGGCGAATGCTTCAGGGCCAAACTCATGCCAGTGTTCAGTCAATAAAAGTTGTTGACTGAATGAATGTCTTTCTCACCGGTGGGGGTTTTTATCAAGGTACAATTTAAACCTCTTCCCAGTCTTTTTAGGTTTGACGTAGCAATGCCTAAATCATGTATCATGTTTTTATCCTTTTCTAAAAAAATATATTTTTAAGTGAAAGTGCTTTTATAGTAAACATCTGGAGGGGAGAAAAAAGAACTTGAAATGTTGTTCTACCTCCAAACTTATTTTATTAAGATAAATGTTTTTTATTTAAGGAATCTTTTGCATACTTTTAAATAAAGGATAGAATGTGATTTTTGTCTGAATCTCTTTGTTTAGTTCCAATGTTATTATCATCTACGTTCAAGTGAAAATTAAATTTATTTTTGTTACATATGCTTTTAGTTGCTTGTGCAACTAGATGTAATTAACGTTAATTTTAATTATATTCTACAACAGCATATTTAATGAAGAATAACAGGGTGGTAGCCTTCATACCCAGGGTGCAACTTGGGCCAGGTGAGGTACTGAGTTGATCAAATTGTTAAACATTCTCATTTTCCAAGATAATGTTGCAGAACTTGATGCGTACCTGCCAGGATCTAAGAATTTGTGATCTTATATCCATAATTCCAATACCTGAGGATTCACCAGTCTGTTCTTCATATTCCTGTGATGCTCTGCAGCCAGCAAAAATGACTGCACACAGTTAGGCGTAAGACTTAAGACTAAGACACAGATCATCTTTTCGTACAAACCGTAAGATTTAGTACAAAAAAATCCTAGTTATATGTAGCTAGACAAGGCAATTCAATTATTCCATTACATTGTAAGAAAATGGCAATAGTTTTATCTACAAGACTATGAAGATAGACATTTTATGTTTTATTTTTCAGATGTGAAATATATTCAATAATGAGAAAACCTTTAAACACGTTCAGCAAGACATTACCAAATATTAATTCTCAAGACATGAACAAGAAATAGGTAAATAATTGCTAAATGTGTTAAGCATTAAATATCAAATGTTCTTTTTTGAGTATGTATACAAGGTTATGCCATGATGTAAAATTCTACAGCCAGCCACACATGATTTTAGACATGACATTTTTGTGTATTTTCACTACATAAATCAAATGCTGAAGAAGAAAGGCTCGTCCTAATCCTAGCACTAATTAAACAAAAGAAAAGCCCTGTTCAGACAGGAACACTATAATCCTAGCAAGACTCTACAAAAAAAACTGAATACCAAATGACGCCTGTTTCTGGAAGTGTTGATTTACAAACATAACTTTAACTTATTAAATTTAATTTCTTTCAGGTAGGAAACATCTTATTTACATTTCATGTCAAACACAAAATAGCTTAATTTGCAGTTCCAATGCAGAATTACTGTATCAGTGTTAATCCAGGTGTAGAAATTGTAGGGAGGTGGTTCTTGCTTACAGGATAGTCATGAATTACCATCCACCCATTCACTCTTAAATTCTTTAAATCATTGTATAGCAAGCATATGAGAAAGAACTAACCAATATGTCAAGAGTGCAAGTTCTTCTAGCTTGGAAAAAGTCCTACAACTTCAGAATAGGTTTTTGTTTCCAGAAAAGATATTATTTGTATTTGAAAGTCTGTACTTTCCGTCTGGTATGTAATTCCATCACATATGCCATGTTTTGTTGTGAACTCATGAAATTGCACATTTTCTGGAGTCCATGTCAGCGCTACTTGCTGCTCTGATCTTCTCTGTAACATAACAGGAGAAAACATTCTACTTTTTACATGGTCAGACTAATCTAACAGAAGGATGGCCAATCGCATTTTAACCATGTTTGCAGGACAAAGGAGGGGAGCGCAGTTTGCATGTGTTTATCTTCTTTTAGAAACCTCAGGTCTCATTTAAACTCTCTTTCTTAAGCAACCTCACCTCCCAGCAAGGGCAGATTGCTGGAAAGGAAGAGAGTGTCCGGCAGCTCTGCCCTGATCACACCTTCCCAGCACCAGCAGGGACCTCAGCACCGCCCTGCAGTGTCACAGAGGACAGTGAAACGTGCTCTGTACACCACAACACGACTTACCAGCTAAATGCTGAAATCCTGCTTCCACCAGATCTTCATATATATGCTTGACAGGATTCTGATGAGCCAGCAATATACCATGTAGCCAGATGAGCAACATTCTGTTTCCATGTTCCTTGTAACTTTTTTTTCCTACACAATACACAAAGCATGTGTCTGTGCCTGTTCCATATGCTGGAAACAATGTATTTTGTGCTTTTGCACTTCTAAAGTTCCAAGAGGTTTTAAAACCTATTCATTTACTCTTTACTTCCTTTCTCACCTAGAAGCAAAATGAAGACTGAGACAAAAAGGTTAAAAAAAAAAAAAAAAATCTAGTTATATCCTAAGGCTACTGTAAAGAGGGGGAAACTAATACATCTTAATTAATTTTTTCCTTTTATTTTTACTCAACATGTGCACATATACCCTGGAGTAGTAGTAAACAAGTACAATGTGTGCTATGGAAATATTGCTTTCCCAGTATTTGAGATGCTGGAAACCAGAAACTGCTGTTTCATGGCAGCTGTGAAGAGAGAGTGTGAACAAGGTCTTCCTGTGTCACAAGGTTCCCCAGGTCCTCACTTGCAGTGTGACCTGCAAGACCCTTCCATGCTGCTCACTGCTCCTATTTTTGATTTCCAAAGACAGAGGTTCCCTCAAACCAAGAGGGAGAACAGAAGCGGTTTGTACTTCTGCAGCACTGCTTCCCAGGAACCAGGGACAAGGCTTGTATCCATTCACAGCTTGCTCTCATAATTTAATTAAGAGCAGTATGGCCAATGTGTGTCTGTGATGCTAACATAGTTTAAAAATCAACTCTGCCTTGTGTTTTTTTACAGCTTATATATTATGTCCAGCCATTCAGATATTGTTACCTGTCCATTGTTCTTCAATAGCTTTAATATGTTCATCTGTGAACTTCCAGAACAGGGCCATTTTTTTCCATTCCTGGGGTTTTAACTGGTTGTATGCTAGATTCCACAGGGAGAAACGGATTTGCTTGGTCTGTATACTATGATCTTGTTTGAAGGACAACTCAAAGTCTGACCCCTCATCACTATAAGCTAGATGTTCCTGAAAAGGAAAGCAGATGATAATTTTTTTAATGAAGCTGGGAACGTTTGCTTAGTGAGCGGTGAACGCTGTGTCCTATACAGCCAGATGTAGCTACTGGCAGGCGATTTGCTCAGTGAAGGTAAAGAAACCGTGTTTGACCAGTAGAGCTATCTGGCATATGTCTTAGCATGGATGATGTTATTAGTCTTAATAACAGAACAGAAACTAAGCCCGTCTGTGTCTATTGCTATGTCTTACTAAGTTAAATGCAAAATAAACCGCTCACTTTCTCTGTCACTTGATATGCAATAGCAAGTAACAGCAAGTACTGTGCTTCTCGGCTCTGTCTACTTTATCTGTCAGGTTTTGAACATGGATGGGTTTCAACCACAGCTCTTACTTTTTCCTCTTGCTTCTCCAAGTGCTAACCTCTCCCTGAGAAGAGGCTAGGCAGCGCTGGCATGTCGCTCGCTCAAGCTGTTCCTGCCTCTGTTCCGTCAGCTCCACTTGGCTGAAGTGGGGACTGCCAGGTCATTCGATGGCAGCATGAGCCATTGGGTTTAGCGTGCAGAGCCCCATTCAACAAAGTGTCTAAGCACCAATAAGTACACGCACATCGAACCTGGATGTAGTTTTATTGCCTGCATAAGCAAAATCAGATAGATACCAAAACTGCAAGCATTTTACCCTCCAGATTAGAAGTGGTGTTGCTACCATATGAATGGCTCGCCTGAAACAAGAGTGATGTGGTTGCTTCTTGTTTGGGCACCTCTGCAAAAGTCACGTCTAGCAGTGATATCAGCCCTAGCTAAGCAGTGCTCAAGGAAAACCCTCATTGCTAGTGTAGGTAACCTCAAAATACTTTGATATTTCATTTTGTTTACATGCTAGTCCTGTTTCAAATCAGTCTCTAACGTGAAAAATGTTTTTAGGAAGTTGTTGAGACAAGATTACAAAGCAGATACTCGGCTAAAAAGGCAAGGGCAGCATGCCGCATTTGAAAAGTGCTAAGCATAAAAAACTCCATTCCAGATTAAATTCAGAAAAATACAACAGGGTTATTTCCTAACCTTATGAGAGTCTTGCAAGGAAAAAAAAAAAAAAGTCTTAGTTCAATAACTACGCTTTGTTATGTATGTTTAATTCCATTTTCTTGTGCAGACTTTATTTCATGCTTCCTAACACAGGGAAGATGAGGTTTAGGACATTCTACAGGACAGCTTCAGGCTCTCCCCAGTTCAGTGTTTCTCTTCTGAGGTTTAAAATTAAAAAAAAAAAAAAAACCCAAAAAAAACCCACAAGCAAACAAATGAAAAAACACATTTTTCTCCTCCCTTTGCAACATCACAGCTTCTCTTTGCTGCTAACTGTGTGTCTAGGCAATGGCAGAGTGGACAGTAACAGCAGGCCTCAAATCCAGTCAAAAAGATCCTGGGCTATGATAGGATGATAGGGAAGGGCTAGGTAGAAGCAGTAAATAGAAAAAAAGGCAAAGAGAGGGAACAAGACACTCTCACACAGATTAGTATCATGTGTGCTTTGTCATAGCAACATGACATTTCCTTTTGTAACTAGTGCCTTTTCACATGTGATAAGTTAGCTCAGTGTAACAGTTATCACAATAATAGTCCGAAATGCTGTTGTTTCCTGTACGGTAACACCACCTGAACAATGTCATATTCCATAGCTGTAAGATCTGAGCTGCTTCCAAAGGCTGTACTTTCAGCTTCAGGTAATGGGATACAAACACTTGTTTCTATTTCCCAACATCTGTGGAGCTCTTGCAGAAAACCATCTGCTTAAACCTCAAGCGATTCAGTAAACAATGCCAAGAGGTTAGGAGCGTTACGGGCTCTCTGCTGTCATGTTTTCTCTGGCAAGATGACTTCACTTCTAATTCCCCTTTCAGCCAGAAGAAACAACAACATACCTGACAACTCCAGCTGAACTGACGCAGATAAAATATGTGCAATACAGGAAGTTCGTGGAGGTGTTTTTCATGACAATGCGACATGAAGTGTCATGGATTTGGGCACACAGGGCTGCAGTGGGGTGGTAAAAAACGAGCTAATTCATGTGCCTGCACTCGGGTGGGATCAACGTGCTTGTACCACCCAGGGAGGCGTGTGGCTCACCTGCTAAGGACAACACTCCCTTGCAGGAATGAGAATGGAGTTACAGATTTGTGTGGTGGCTCCGCAATGAGAGCGCAAGAGCTGACAGGTTAATTCCTTCCACCAGTCCTTCTGCTCCGTTTTGCCGGCTCTGGTGCTCACAGAGTTACCTGCTCTACACAAATTGCGTTAGCTTCTTCCTCCCTGCAAGTTTTACAGTGCATGCAACAAGAGATGTCTTTTACTGCCACGCTAGGACCAGTCTGTGTACTTGAGAGATTTGGGGATTTTAAACTGTATTGTGTCAAAACTTAGCAAATTTAATCAATTCTCAGGGATCCCTGAGGTAAACTTATGGCTCCAAATAGGAAAAACTGAGCAAGCCAATACAAGACTGATATATGGAGCATTAATATGGCCTAAAATGAACCCTCACCATCCTATGAAATACCACCCTTTCATCAAGTGTGTAGGTATAGCAGATTCTTTGTTGCTCATTGCTACAACTGTCATTGATGGAATAAATAAACTTTCTCAGAATTCTAAATGGTCCCAGTTAAGACCCTGTGACATGAGACATTCCTGAATTTTCCAGACCCATTTGTGCTGGGTCTGAGTTTCAAGGCGCATCTCTAGAATGGGCCTCACCAGCAGCCCAGCTCCAAATACTCCCGTGATTTTAAGAGATACTAAGCTCAGCTTTTCTTGTTCAGACACTTACTGCCTGTAGAGCATGTACAGATTCATAAGTGATGTGGAATAGTCAATGTGGGCCAAAATAGTTGTCATCTACACTTTAATACTTCAGCGCTTTAGGGAAGGCCATCACTAAGCAGCCTACATTTAAATCATAGAATCATAGAATGGTTTGGGTTGGAAGGGACCTCAAAGATCATCTAGTTCCAACCCCCCTGCCATGGGCAGGGAAACCCTCCACTACATCAGGTTGCCCAAAGCCTCATCCAGCCTGGCCTTGAACACTTGAATAACAACTAGGGAAAGGATAGAAATTTACACAATCTGAGGTCAATCTAAGCCATGTCCTTCACACTTGTTGCTTGTCTCTTTCCCATTTAATTGACTGCATTTTGCAATTAACACACATAAAACAGAAGAGGGAGCTCCTGCCAAAGCATCTGAGCCCTTACTAGCGAAGGGAGGGACAGACAGCTGCACTTCTCCGTTTTTCAACCTTAGATTTTGCTGTACCAAAGGACGCAGGGATCAACGTGAATTCAGGTCATCCCAGCCCTGATGCTGATGGCACAGTTTGAATTGGGGTCAGAATCTCTCTCCAGCCCTTTATCTCTGTGTGTAAAGCATGATGCAGGAAAACAAGATCTGAAGACAGTTTAGTTTTGCAGCTTGTCAGGACTAAAACCTGGATGGGGTAGAGACCTTCCTGTTCCCAATCCTAACCTCGATTTATCAAGGCCAGTCTTGCAACCTGCCAAAAGGAACCACATCAGGCAAAAGGCGCTTCAAGATCAGAATTGGCTTTTCCCTTACAGTTCTCAGTGTAATGAAAGATGTCTCTTACCTGTTTCATGGCATAATACCTTTCTGCTTTAATGATCATATCTACAATGAGGGCATGATTGCTCCTTGATGCCACAGCTAGTGCAGTTTTTCCATGCTGAAAGCAGAGATCTGAATCAGAATGTTATATATATAAGGGTAAGTATATCATAGAAGAAATACAGGAGCTTCGTTTACAGAGCCTCATCCCTTTTTTTTTTTTTTTTTAAAGAAAACACATTACTACAATTTTATGGCTTCAGGGTACTACAATCAAAGTTCTGTGATTTGTGTGAGCTGTATCCCCTAAGCCCAGAGGTCATCAATTTCTTCCAGCACTGAACTCTCCCTAAAGAATTTCTGGTGAGATACAGTTGCTTTCAGAAACCTCCTGCACTCAGACTGCTGTGTATTTCATACCAGCTTGTGCTTTCCAGTCACTGCTCCCAAGTTTGTGCAAGCCCAGGCATGCACAGGCTGAAAACCACCAAAAATACAATTCATTCTCATGTTATGGTTAAACCGGCATTTCAGATAGATTGGCTGGCAAAGTCGGAAACCTTCACCTTTAAGGGCGAACCTGCGTCTTTGTTTTTTTGTTTTGGATGGTAAGTGTCCTGGTTTCAGCTGCTGGAGAGTTATTTCTTCTTTGTAGCAGCTAGAAGAGCTCTGTGTTTTGGTTTTAGTCTGGGATTTGTTATGAGAAGAATGCTGATAGCTCACTGGTGTTTATAGTTGGTGCTGAGACCTCAAGGATTTTTCAGCTTCTCATGTTTTGCCAGTGTGCAGGAGCACAACAGGATAGGGGGGTAGCACAGCTGCGACAGAGGGTCCACAACTCCCCTTGTGATTTGAATTTAGACACAGGATTGAGGGCCTCAATTGCATCACTTGTTTGTATATATTATCATCATTATACATATATATATTCATATATTATTAATAGTAGTATTAAATTGTTCTTATCTCAACCCTTTTCCCCTTTAATTCTCTTCCTCATGCCCTGGTGGTGGGAGAGGGTGAGCGAGCAGCTGCGTGACCTTTAGTTGCCAGATGCCCTCCAGCCTAAGCCATGACAGTAAGCGATTTAGGAGTAAGTAAGCTCACAGAATGAAAACAGGGTGTGGGAATTACTTTCTCCTGACAACTGAAGTGAGCGTAACTGAAGGTGATGTTTCATGGGCAGTGCAGGCAGTCCAAGGAATTAAAAGCCATTGCTTTAATTCCAGCTGCAGAGGATTCCTTAGTCTACTTGAACCCATCTCCACTGTCAGCACTTTTATGTAAAGGGTTGTCTCTGCAATTGTCTGTTTTCAGCAGATTTGCCCTGAGTGGAGCTGCCTCAGATTTAAATATTCACGGTATTCTCCACATAACAAATGCTAGACATTCTAGAAAATTAGACCTAAAAGAAGCCAATCCCTTAATTAGAAGGTTCAGTAATTAAATTATAAGGCATTTCAACTCTCCAGCTATTATCAAGTTCCTTAATACATACCTTTTAAGTTCTAGCTCCTTGCTCTGCTCAAGATCATTCTACTTAGACAGTTTTTAGAAAAGCATTACATTGGAAGCCAAAGCATTTAAATTCGATAAAATCTTTAGAGCATAGACATACGTTGTATGTGAAGAGTCCAAAGAGCAAAAGAGCTCCTTGGGTTCCACCTCTGGAAAGGCGCTCTGCATTTCGCAGGGAGGTGGAGGAGTGGAAAAAGGGGTGTTTCTGGCCTCCTGTGCTACTGCAGATGCTGCTGGCATCCTGCGTGTACATGTAGCATGGCAGTCTTGCACACAGGGAGCTCTCTGCACTATGGATCACAACCAATGACAACTATATCTGCAGATGGGAGGAAGGAAGAGCTCCCCAGAAAGCATTTCCTGAGCTGTAACAGCTTGCAACTCATGCAGATGCGTGACATGCTCTGGAGACGGAGGATGCTTGCTGCCAAGGGACAGAAGCCAGGAAAACACTGTGCAATCAAAGCAGGCTCCCCTTTTTCCTGCCTACTGTTCAGTAAGGACAGGAACATTTTTGGCATCTTAGCACCAGTTCAGTTCAAAGAGGGCTGTACTTGTGAATGCTCCCAGCGGTAGCACGGGCTCGGGGGTCATCCAGCAAACAGGCAAGGGAAAAGCAACTCCAAAAACCAAAACCAATGCAGAAAGGTGACCAAACTTGTGCGGGCTTAGAGCCATATTGTGGTAACGTGCCCTGAACTCCATCAACACTGCTGTAATACCAGCACACTATCCAGCCCAAAGGCTTCCAGGTTCTTAGAGTCAAAGCAGGCAATGAGAAGTCACATTCTGTGCCTGCCCTTGGAATATGAACAGGTAGAGACAATTTTCCAATGGCTTAATTCTGGGTTAGCCTGTGTAAGAACTACAGCTCTCCAGCTGGTGTAGGCAGGACTCTGAATGGGAAGGCTTGACTGCAATGCAGCATCTTACCTCAGCCTCCCAGAACACATCAACTCTACCACCTGCACTCAGAGCCCCCAGCCTCACTCAGGCTAGGGAAATAAGAGATTATCCTAGTCCATAAAGCTTTACTCCTCATCAGGACAGGTCTGTGTATGAAAATTACTTTTTTAGCTTACTAAGGGCTAGATTTTGCTCATGATAAACATCAAATCTGTCAATTCAGACATGAAGAAAATCAATATAGAAGTAACAGTATGAAACAGGAAGCTCGGTCCTGCAGTAATTTAGCAAAATTTGTAAAAACTTTTCAAAAGTGCTTCCCCAAAGACTCTTTGCTCTGGTACTTCTTCCAGCCATTGCCATTCTTGCTTCAGTCTTTCCAGGCTGAACATCAGCAACAGGGTCTAAAGCACCCACCTGAAAAGATCTGAGGTGGCTTCTCAGGGACACAGTACCATCACTTCCAGGTGGCCCAGTGTACTAAAAGGCAAAATCGCCATCACTGCAATTAGTGAAGCTGGCAGCACCTGTGTGTCTCCGGGTGATGAACCTGGCTCTGGGTGCACAGTTACAACAGCCACAGGCTGTCTTCCACTCTGTAAGCCTAGTCCTTTTTTCTGTCAATCAGAGGTGTTTGGCAGCAGGGTTTAGCCTTCAGACTACGTAGCCTGGAAGTTTTACAGCTCTTCACTAAAACATTTCAGATTTCTGCAAGCCGCAGGTACAGCAATATTAAAAGGAGACTTCTTTTGTAATAACTAACACTTAGCTTTACCTAGGAAAGACAACGGGCAACAAGTGCTTCCTGCATCTCTGGGAAGAAAGTTATAAAACAAAAAATAGAATCACATAATCCTTGCACAGGTGAGGAATGCAATCTACCTTATCCATGGTCTTCAGATCACAGCCTGCCTTCAGCAGCACTTCCACCAGCTCCACATTGCCAAGATCAGCTGCCAGATGTAGAGGGGTTTCCTGCCTCTGGAATTAATGACACCAAATAAATGCAGTAAGCCAAACTCCCTCTTAGAAGTAGAGTGCTCACAATATGAATCTAAAGACAATTCACAACAAGAGACAGCCCTGGCTAGAAATCACTGAACAGAATGGAATCATTCAACTTTTGAGTGATCTAACTGCCAGTTTTGTTTCAGGCAAACGAGAGCATCTGGGATCTCCGCAGGAAAACCAGGCAGGAGTTCCAGCTGGCTCAGGAAAAAAGTTGCTGTCATGCCCCTCTAATGTACTGTAACCTCATGAGCTCTCTCTCTTCCCTCTTTTAAAACAAGGTGTTTTGGACAGAGTGCTTCATGTGACTGCCAACCCCCACCCATATTATTCTCTTGAGTAACCTTTTCCCTGCTGAAATTCATGCAAAGACAACTGGACATCCATAAATTTCAACAGTACATTGTGCCATAGTCCACAACAGCGTTTGTTAGCCAGCTTCAGGTCTAATCTTTGAGTCTGGAATGAGTCTCTACACAGCTGCATGTACCCCAAAAAACCCTATTTATCCTTCTACAGAATATTAGAATAAGAAATTCCAGACGAGACACCTTGTGCCTGTGCTTGTCTGATGTTTCAAGTCTGCATTCTATAAGTCTGGTTAGAGAACTTTTTCTGGCCTTTAGATCTTATTTTAATGGTTGCAGAGTCTAACACCAAGACCTTACACACCAAGAAACACCTGCCTCAGGATTCCACAATGGAGTCTCTCATCAGCTCTTTTGGGAATACACACTATGATCACATGACTTCACAAATTTCCCCCAACACTACACCCTACTTTCCTTTCTGCAGTAATTTAGAGATATGTATGTAGCTATTTTATGTAGCTTCAGGCATGCTAGAGACAAAGCACAAAATGTTTCTAAAAGATGTGTTCAAGAATTTTACGAAATTCCCTATTTTATATGACAGAAGAGCTTATCGTCATACTTGACTCCAGCCACAAGTGACAGCCTCTGCCTCCTGCAAAAATGTGTATAAATTAATCTTTAGCAATAAAATGATCAGTGGGCAGGGGTGAACTACAGATTTCTCAAAAACTAGTCCTTGTTACTATCATGGGGTGCATTCCCACCTGTTGTGCAGGAGACCAGGGTACATTTCCCCAACAGAGGGCCGCAGCACCCAGGCAGACCTGGTGGGACAGTGTTTCCACAGCTAAGATACAGGGTCAACGAGGAGGAGAGCTTTTCCTTGAATCGAAGCAGCTGGCAAGCCGATCTATACACAGCTGGTGCCTCAATGTCTGCCCAGTCGATTACAGTCAGGGCGCCAGTGTACAACATCCACAAGCTCTGTTCAAACTTCTGCCACATGGACCATGAGTACTGGATGTTATCTGACTCTTTAGAGGACTAGTCGTTGGCCAGGTTGCTGTAGGCCATCTCCACCACCATTAACTCCCTCAGATACTGCATACCTTCTTCTGTGGTAGTTGACTTGCCTTGCTGGTTTACAATATTGTCTTTGAGGAGACATTTTGACTTCATGCCCCCACCTTGCTGATGGATGAATACTTGCTGGCTAGTATTGGTATACCAATTACCTGGGACTACATGCCTGTTCAGGCATGAAAACCCAAACTATTGGAGCCAATGATAGCCCCAGGCACCTGCCCAGCTCTTCCCACACACCCTGCTGCCCAAGGACCAACTGCCTCCAGGCACATTCCAGTGTGGCATTCCAAATTAGTTGTTTAACCTTATGAACAATAATCAAAATAAAGCTCACAACACACACTAGTATTAACAGTCTGATTATACAAGGATATTCAAGGAACTGAGGCCGTTACGAGAAGGTGGGAGAGACCCATCCAGGAGGAGTAAAAGGGGTAGGTGCCACTTATTCCTCTCTCGACAAAGCATCTCCCCAAGGCACGCATCACATGGCCTTTCACAGAGGAGTGTATCCAGTACCTGAGGGATTAGGGTGGTGGAGGTGATCTACAGTGAACTGGCCAACAACCAACCAGGCCTCCAAAGACCACCGGCACCAAGCAGAGGCCAAACAATCCTGGTAGGTGGGGAAGACAGATGCCAGCATCCCTGGGTGGGCTTGATCCACCAGCTTTGCTGTTAACCGCCAAACACGCTCACTGATTGCACCACAGAGACCTGTGACTTGACCACTCAGTGTGATGTTGTGTGGTGTGGAGCATGACTTTGGTCAGCTCTGGTCACCTGCTTGGTTGTGTTCACTCCCAGCTCCCCATGCACCCCTAGTCTATTCACTGGAGGGGCAGAGTGTGAAACAGAGGCAGCCTTGGTGCTGTGCACCCACTGTCCCGCAACAGCTAAAACACTGGTACCTTACCAGCACTGTTTTGGTCACAAACCTAAAACACAGCTCCATAAGGGCTGCTATGAAAAAAATTAACTCTATTCCAGCCAAGTGACCCTCTGCACTGGGCTTCCTTCTGACATCAATACCATTGAAACATTTCTGTCATTTATTACGCATGAGTTTAACACTCAAACAATAAATTAATCCAAATATTTTCTGAGCAGATAGCATTTTGCTATCCTCATCTTGCACAAACAATACTAGCACAGCATGTACCAGTGACTAATACATATGCACACATGCAACAAGATAAGCAGGGAACTAACTCTTCCTTCCTATTCTTTTGTACCCTGAGCTCGTAAAGAAAAAAATATATTTCAAGCCAAATCCACATAATCTCCTCTTTACCGGTGAAGTTATGTTAATTCCCAGTTTTTCTTACATGATTTAAGGAGTTTATGTCATGATTGGCATCCAAGAGGCTTTTTACTACTGGTAGATGATTATTGATGACTGCTAAATGGAGTGGGGAATTCTTCTGCTGTGGAGGGAAAATAATAAACTGTTATACTTGGGTACATTATTAGAAGTTCACTCAAAGAAGAAAGAGGTTCTTATTAAAATCTGCTCCTTGCAAAGGTGATCAGCAGGGGTTCAAGACTGCAGAAAACGCGCCTTGAGGTGCAGAGTTATGCCAGAGATGGCAGCCTGCTCCTGCTCCTGCAACACCTTCAGCAGCAGTTAAACAAACACAGCTGAGAAACCTGGAAACGTTGTGAGCACGGGGTGTGTATCAGTGTGTCACCACTTAGGAACACAGCCAGGCACTCCTCTTACATGTTTGTACCTGGGATGTGCTGCTACCCTCGGCTGACAATACAGAGGTTAGGGCATTGCTTCTGTTCCCTCCGAAAATTGGGTTTGCCCTCAGTTGAATATGCTGGAGACAGATTAACTCTGTATTGGGTAAACAGATGTCAAAATCTGCTTTCCAGGAATAAACTCTTGTCACATGTTGCTGCTGGAAATATTCTTCATTCTGAACTGATTTGCTGTCATATTTATAAAAAGCAAATTAGAGCTAGAAAGAAGCTGAGGGTTTTTAATTTGAGTGATTATTCATGGAAATAACTGAGGCGCAGGTCCAACACCAGTCACAATCCAACCATTCGCTTGGCAAGATCACTTTGCATGTTGAACATATGACTCATCAGTTTAACAATTGTTAAACACAGATGAAAAATAATCCCATAACAGTGCCATTCACTGGTGCCAGACACCAGTTCATTAGTGTCTTCATAAACCACAGCCATTTCTTCAGGGCTACAGAAAAATAAAGCAAGCTCTTACACAACATTACTGGAAACGTTTCCAAAACGTGAGTTACAGTTTTATGAGTTGCTTCTGCAACAGAAAGCCAATGAGAACAAGCAGCACAATGGCCTGATCTTTAGGATAAATCATTTCAAGCACATCATAAATCGTTCTTCCTTGATAACATTCCACAACAGGCCAGTGATCATGAAAGATAAGTCACGAAGCCCAGACTCTATTTTCATCCTGCACTGTAGAAGTGGAAAATAATTTCCTATTCACAAAAAAATCTCAGATGTGATAAAACCTGTAACATCTAAGTTGAGACAAGATTTGAATATTAGGAATATTCTTGAATATTGAATTCCTATTGAATATTAGGAATATCTTTCTTTTTAAATCTCAAAGAATGCTGGCATGCAGATTTTGAAGGCATGTGCTTTGAGTGCAGAGGGTGAAAGCACTGAAGTGTTTATTGACCTTTATTCAAAACCAGTTACAAGTGGTAACTCTTTGCCCATGACAAGATGAAGTGTCACACAAGGATGTCTGCATTACTACTGCGTAGTTCAAGCAGGGTCCTTTGCTTGTCTTGTCATAATGCCCAGTCCTTGGCTTAGCCTGGCCACTTCTACACTGCACTGCACCAGTCTGTCCAGGCACTGACTGGGTTTGTACAACATATTGCTAATCAACATCCATAAACCTCGTAATGATGTGTATAGCAAACAAAAGTCAGTCTCATTCGGCTGTCTGTATTCCAAAGGAAGGCCATAAAAGACAGGACATGCCACACAACAGCAGAACAGTTATACAGATACACACTCACCTCAGGTTTAGGGACCAGGTCAATATTTTTATCAATAAGAAAAGTGACCAAGGATAGATGTCTATTCTGAATTGCAATCTGCAAAGCACTGCTGCTGTTCTGAAAGAAATGGTATGGACAGCAAAATCTTACATTCTTGTTGCTAGAAAAACAGCACTAAAGAGAGCTATCAATACTGGATAATCTTTCATGTGAATTTGTGTTATTGTCCCCCCCTCAAAAAAACCCTCCTTTTGATAAAATTATATAAAATGAAGTGGATCAGCAGTTAGTGTGATGTGGTTTTGTAAATACTGAAAGAACTTCCTGTTTTTACTTTATCACAACAAACATGCTAAAACCACCAGTATACAAGAGTCCTTTTCAATCTCTCTTAGATAAATTAGCATTGTCAGCTGCACCATAGACAATGACGAAGCCAACATGTCCCCTAGGCTGTTAGTTCAGTTTGACCTTTAACAAGCAAGTACAGTCACATTAACAAAATTTTAAAAATAAATCAATAGAAATTTTTCACTTAGTAATTTTGCTGAAAGAAAGAAGCTCTCAGTCTGCTGGAATGATAAACTTTCCACAGCAGGCAAGCCAAGGCTATTCAATAGATGTGAGCTGGACTGGAGTCCTGGAACCAGATGTTAAGAACAAGTTTGTCATCAGTTCAGTCATATACACTGCCAAAACGGAGGATTTTCAGTTACCCTGGTTGGTTACGTTTCTTAGTCATATGTTTTATTATTGGACATACAGTTAAAAAAAAAAGTTCCATCACAGTACTCTGTCAAATAAGTCTATGCTGTATTTCTTCCACATCAGTTCTATTCTGTTAGCGCACTCTATATTCCAAATTCTATTTTTTATCAATTAATTTATTTTTTTACCATTTCACAAAAATAAGCAGAGCAAATATACTGTCAGTACACACAGAAAAGAGAAGATAAGACAAGACAAGACATCCTTCCCACAGCCCAGGGTGTCCCAGTACCTGTGTGCTGGAGGGATACTGTGTACATACCTGAGTTAAAACATTGATGTCACTCCCTGCTTCCAGTAGAAGTTCAGCACACTTTTCATGACCTCCTTCAACAGACAAGTAAAACGGAGTTTCTCCATTCTAGATCGACAGAGAGAAAATGTCTGTTCCAGTTTAAGCCATGTGACTATAAGGCTGTGACACAAAACAGGTTAGCTTGATCAAACTTGTCCAGCTCAAGAGAAAAGGGGAGATGGTCACAAGAGAATGCTTCTAAATTAACACTTAAATGAAATGGCAACTCACCATCACTTAAGTGGCAGATGATATTTATACGGACAGATATACAGCAAGGTTTATGATACAGACAACTAGTTCATAAATATTAAGCACACTCTTCTCAAAGATAATTGCTAGCAACAGGCACAGAAACAAAGACGGCGGGTAGCAATTGCTCCATGTCTCCACTGCAAGTCTCTAAAGTAAGTTACATCAGCTGCACAATGATCTAATCCCTGCTTTTGAACTCCTAAAATACACAAACGTTTAGTGAAAGTTACTCTAATGTTTCAGCATTCACAGAAGCATCAATAAATCCCGATTTTTTGTTGCTTAAACTCCTGCCACCATTATTCTGGTAAACTTAATATATTTTAGTGCTTTGTTCATGCTGGGGAAAGAGAGACCTGTTTATCCACAGACTAGAACATCTCTAGCTGGACAGGAAGGTCCATTAGCCATAGCAAGCAAGTATAAGCTTTGCGTGCAGAAGCAACATTGTTAGACAAGACTTGGAAACGTGAGGGCTTCACATTTCAAAGGGGCTCATGTACCTCGAAGCTTGCATAGCCAGAGATAACAGAGAAGTTAGGTAAAAGAGAACCCTTGAACTACAAAACTGTTGTTGATTAAGGAGGAGGAGGGCCTCGGGTTGCAGTGGATGTCCCTTACTCACTTCGCCCACTGGGCCAGCAGAACAGACCATCAACCACACGCAGGTTCCCGCACTGGCCATGCTAGCCCACAACAAAGCGAGTTAACTAGCCCAGTTCGTTCCAGCTGCCTCACAGAAGAAGCAGAAGACACAAGGACCCTTTGCAAAGCAGGAAACCCGAGTTGAGTAGTTAGTGTCCATTTCCCTCCCCCATCCCTACTTTAAGCCTTAAAATTAAGCTCATGTGTGCATCGACTCAAGGATACAACCTTCATGGCCAATATGCAATTCATGAATATGCTGGCTGAGCTCACCAATGCTAACCTGGAAAAGAAAAAGTGGGTAGGCAGTGTCTGCAGCCAGTTCTGTGGAGTCAACTGAGATCAGATGAACAAGGTACAAATCTGAGACCAGCAAAGATGCTGAGGTGCCTGCGACGGTATGTGCTGGGTATACATGTTGAACTGACTCAGTGAATAGCCTGAAAAGCATCAGACATGGTAAAAGGAATGGGATCATGTGGCCAGAAACCTTGGAGGACAGGAAGCAAGGTGGAGGTTAGGTCATGCTCTGTTTCCTTCTACCAGTAGATATGCAAAAGCTTATGAGATGGAGGGGAGGTCATTGTGTAACGAATAGAGGACAGAGGAAGAGACATTGAAGGAATTAATGGAGCTGAATTTATTGGATAAGGGACAATGAAGCAGGATGCAAAAGTACTAGAAAAGCAGTAGAACTAATGAAGTCTACTCAGTGCAAGATTTATTCCTTTAAAATGTTATTTTTGAGTTGATTTTTCAAATTTCTAACTTCGTCTCTTCCAGTAATTTCTGTGTCCTTACCTGATTGAGGTCATTTATTTCTTCCCACTGTTCGAGCAGAATTTCTACAACTTTGCTGTGACCGTTTTTGGCTGCTAGATGCAATGCTGTGTTTCCCTCCTTGAAATTAAAATATCAAATAAGGTATTTTAAACCCCAGAATAAAGTCAAAACATTAAGTAAAAACACAAAGCTTTTGTTCTTTCTATCTCTCTTTTGCATATAAGAAGAAGGAGGCAGATGCACAGCAGGTTCCAAGATTCAGACTAATCCAACAGGAATCTTTTCATATGCATGCAGACATATCCTTGGTCTAATTGGTTGTCTATTCTAAAAACTGCAGTGTATTACCAGTGAAAAAGGTCTAAAATTCTAACTCCTAAAGAATGAATCAGCAGAAATCTTTGGGCATTTGTTCCTAGAAGGACAGGGACATCAAACCACCAAAAGCACTGATTTAAAGATACACAATCAAAACCTAGGTAAGTATAATCTTGTAGTGTCTTTGATGCCAACACCATGATCTTCAATCCTCTTCACCATCAGTACAAGTCGTCACTAGCTAGTTAAGGAAAAAAACCTACCATACCAGCAAGCAAACAAAAGCAAAGAGCAAGTAGATGATATCAGCAAGAGCAGCAGCTTTTGAGCTAAAAGACAATGCTGGCACATGAACAAGTTTAAAATTGGCTAGAAACAAACTAAAACTGGAAATCAAGAGAAGAATCCTAACCCTCAGAGAAGTGAAGGTCCAGAACAACTTTTCAATCAGAGCGCTGTGGAGGTGGAGGGGCCGAAAATCCAAATACATTCTAGGAAAAGTTATGTTTGTTAATTGATGGTTACAGTGCAATTGCTTCCAGTGACCCACGAGATGAGTTTCTATCCTGGCTTCTCACCTACTTAAACTTCAGGATCACAGCATTCGCCTCCCATCATTGCTGCTTTACACATTCAGCCTGCTAGATGTCTGGAACAACACTGTTATTTAACTGCTGCTGATAAACTACTTAGCACATCAGAGCTCCAGGTTGCACTGCAGCTTTTAAAGTGTCATCAGAACACACACACACACACACAAAAAAAAAAAAAAAAAAAAAAGAGGCATAACTTCCTGAGTGCTTGCTTACCTGGTTCTACAAATGCAGTATCTGGCCATTTTTAATGTATTTATCTTTGCAATGCCTTGAATGCAGAGAAAGAGTGACATGCTCATTCCACAAACAGTGAAGTAAGGAGTAAGGAAATTTAAGGGCAGGCTTTGAAAGTTATTTAGACACCTTAAAGTGCAGTGTCAAAAGCAAACTCAATCAGACTGAAGTGTTCAGGTACTACTGAAAAATACCCATGGGTGTTTATTTGTGTCCTGAAGCATTTGAACAACTTCAAAAAATTAGTCATGCAGCACTTAGCAGTGACAAACCAACACAGTTGAGCAGAGCGAAAAACTGGGAAACATGATGTCCCAGTACAGAGGCTGGCACCTTCATCACCAGACCTTCCCGCTTCTCCCAACAGACAGCATATGCTCGTCTTGTTTTGCATGAATTATTAATGCAAATGGAAATGCTTCCTGGCAATAAGACTAGAAGGTCCACTGTCCTCCCTTAATCACTGAAAAATCATCGTCACTGTATGTTTGTTGGTCCAGTATGTATCACTGCCAGCACCCTGACATCTGCACAGATACTCCTGTCACTCAGTTATGTAGTAATTACACCACTGAAACAAAGGAATCTTTCACAAGTACATTTTCAGTTTACTTCTTTGAAAAAGAAGCCCTTACCTTATCTTTTTCAGATGTAAATAGCTTCAGAGAAATCAAATTGTTTATCATGTCAACATGGCCTTTTTCAGATGCCAGAAGAAATGGCTTTTTACCTTTCTAGAAAACAATTACGGAAAGAAACACAGCGTTACTGAAAGTAAAAGTAGTTTGCTTCCAGTTACTAGATATATGGCACACATATGCGCATGTATGTCCTGCATAAAAATATATGTATCATATGACTAAGTAAATCAACAAAAGAGTAGATACATATACAAGAAGAGTAAGAAGAAAAAAAAAAGGTGCAATATTTACTTAGTGAAAAAAAATAGATTATACATCTTGCAAAACCTGAAGAAAATATTTGAAAACTGTTCAGAAATTATAATGAGGTAGGAAATATGCTCAAAATATTTAATTCTTTATTCTTCTCAGTATGAAACTATTTATCAAAAGAAACGTTTTGTTAAAAGTCTGAGGATGCTCAGAAATAGGCAGCAAAGAAGTTGTAAGATTTGTTTCCACGGCACAACATGTTTGATCTGAATTCTGCACAGACAGACCAGAATAAACTTATCTCATAAGTTTCATCCTGTGGGATGTTTTTTGGTGGTGGTTAAACTAACAAAAACTTTTTCAACTGTTTAAAACTCAACTGCAGAAAGGTATCTTGATATAAACCCATGCCACTGGTCAGACAGTGAGGCCGTCTAACCAATTAGCCTCACTACCTGACAGTGGCCTACATTAAATGTCTAAGAAAAAAATGCAAGCAACTAATAGATAATTATGAAACCACCTCAACATAAAGAAGATTATTATTCACCTTTCCTTTCCCAAGGCCTAAAACACACAGGGTGTTTTTGTTAAATTAACTCTGTTTTGTCAACCTTGTCATGTATAGAAAGAATTCAGAATTTTGCACGACTGGGTCAACACAATTCAAGAGTCGAAAAAAAGGATAGGGGAGCTTTGTTCTTTTGGTGACAGATCCTACAAGAACAAATTTTCCTGATGTAAAATTAAAATATCCTACTTAGCGAAGTCTTCAAAGCCAGATCCCAACATTGTGGGAAGGAAAAATAAAAACACAGCAAACTTGATGAGGACAAAGCCCTGGAACCGTCAAAGAGTTGATGCACCTCTGTAGGATGGTTGTATACAGTTTTATGTACTACATGGGCGAAATATGCCCATGTTGGCCACAGCTGGGGGAGTGAGCTGTCTGGGAGGAGGTCAGAGACTGCCCTGTGCTGGTCACAGACATTTCCATCTGGCTCCACAATGGATAAAACAGACCCACCACGTATCAGCATTCAACCCATCAGAGGAACACACCACACCTCTGTGAAAATATATTTAAGAAAGGGTGGTCACTGCTACAGGGAGAATGCACGAGGGGAGATACAGGAGGAGGCATGGGAGGATGTAAGGGAGAAGACGTAGGAAGAAGTACATCCACAGGGCGACTGCACCCCATGGAGGAACTCTTGCTAGAGCTGAGGAAAAGAGTAAGAAGCAAAGAGCAGAAAAAAAAGGAAACCACTGTGGACTGACCACAACCTCCTCTGCTTCCCATCACCGACGGGACCAAGAATCACATGCAGCAAAACCAAGGGAAGCAGGTGAGGAGAGGTGTCTGGAGTACAGCTGAGACAGGCAAAGATGGAGGAAAGGTGTTTTTCCCAAATGCTTGTCTGGCTGTTTGCCTTACCTGTTTCTCAATACCCAAATCAGTAATTTAAAGTTAATATAACTGGCAATAAATTCAGACTTATAGAAATTCCTCAAGTCAAGATTGTTTTGCCCACAACAGATGTCTCATGACACCAAAGAAATACACAGAAAGAAACATACTGTACCCCGTCAGGCTTGTTCAAGTCACTCAGATGAAGATCTTGGAGAAAATAATCAACTATTTTAATGCTGTTGTTCTGAGCTGCAAAGTGCAGTACATTCATTCCTTCCTGAAAAACCATAATCAACTCTGTAAGAACAAGTTTGATTTTTTTCCAACGTAAACATGTTTAGAGCTGGTAAAAATTTGACATCAACAAACCTCATTCTCAGCCTTTTGATCAGCGCCTGCTTTAACTAATTTTCGCATTATATCCAGATTTCCAGTCCAAGCTGCAAGATGAATCACTGTCAAGCCATGCTTCAAATAAAATGATAAAGGCAGAAATTAACACCAAAATACCTCATGCCAAATTTTTAAAAATAGTTTTTATTAATTCTGTGTATGAGTGGCTTCGGCTCTACAGGCTCTTAGAAAATCTGTACTATCTCCTAGCAGTGTGAGAAATCACGTAGATAGTTAGCACTAGGTGCAGTGGATGACATTTCATGTGATGATATGTAATGACTATATTTCCATGAGTCATCATAATTTTCCAGTTAGCCCTCTTTTTAAGGTTCTCTTTTATTCTCTCAAATTCTCTGAAAAGTTGTCCTCTTACAGAAAAAAAAAAAAAAAAAAAAAAAAAAAAAAAAAACAAAACCAGCCATGTTTTTAACTTCTTAGAGCCAAAAGGAAAGAGATAAGGTACTTCCAGCCAGTATCTCCCATCTTGGCCACAGACATCTGTCTCTAGGTTTTCCACGTTTTCCTCAATTCGTGTGTACTGTGTCTGAGTGCAGCACCATAAATCACGGCTGACTGTGCCAAGTGCTGTGTAAACACAAGACACCCGTATTCCACGGGAAGAAGGAATCAGAGAAACCTAAAGGAAACAAGGGGGATCAAAGCACTTCCTTAGCGGTTATAACACTTTCCCAGTTTCTGCTCTATAAATGAGTAGTAAATAACTTGACTCACGTCTCTAATGGAGATCAGGAACAGTTTTTATGCACACTTCGGACAGCAGGATGCTTACTGCGACAGGGACTTCAGGATACTAGTCACAAACTATTTATTGAATAACTAAACAGTTCAGGCTGGAAGAGGGCTCAGGAGGTCACACTTCTATGGCCTCCTGCTCAAAGCCTCTCACACTGGATCAAGTTGCTCAGGACCTTTCCCTGTCAAGTTCTGAATAGCCTGAAGATTGAGACTTTACAACCTCTCCGGAAAATCTGTTCCAGTGTTTGACCACTCTGACCGTGAGGTTTTTTTTCGCCTTGTATCTAAATGGGACCTCCCATGTTGCAATTTGTGTCCATTACCTCTTATGCTATCACGGTACACCTCTGAGAAGAGTCTGTCTCTCTTGTCTATATTCTTCCCTTATGTAGCTGTAGACAGCCATAAGGTCTCCTCCTTATCATTCTTCTCCCTAGGCTGAGCAGACCCATCTCTCTTAGCACCTCCTTATACACCTTGCACATGGGTCCTGAACATCCTTAGGGCTCTGCACTGGACTCGCTTCAGCTTATCAGTATCTTTCCTGTACTGGGGAGCCCCAAAATGGACACAGCAAGCAGAAGCTGCAGTGGAAAACAGTAGAGAGCAATATAGAACATACATCAGGTGCACAGGCTACAAGAATAAAGCTGGGCTTAGGCAAAATCTGTGATTGTGGCTCAGAAGTCTGCCCTGGAAAAGCTCCCCAACTATGACCCAGGAGAAAAAGTAACTGGACCTGAAAGCCTTGTACAATGCGAAGACTAGCTTGGTGGATGAGAGAAGTGACTGTTTATCTCAACTTTCATAACAGTTTTGACACTGCCTCCCATGACATCCTTGCAGACAAACTGATGAAGTACAGGCATAGACAAACGGATACCCAAAGGTGTAATGAAAGCCAGCTGAACTGTCAGGCCCAAAGTGCACAAAGTCCAGGTGGAGACCAGTCATTACCAACACATGCTAGCCATTGATCCTGGGTCCAGGACTGTTTAACATCTTCATTAGTGACCTGAATGATGAGGCAGAGTGCACGCACAGCAAATTTATAGATTATATTATACTGAAAGGAGTGGCTGATGGATCAGATTAGTGTGCTGCCATCCAGAGGAATCTTGATAGTTTGGAGAAATGGGCTAATAATTCAATAAGGGAAAATGCAAAGTCCTGTACTTGGGGAGAAGCAACCCCAGGCACCAGTACTGAATGGAGGCCAACTGCAGGGAAAGCAGCTTGGCAGAGAAGGACGTGGGGTTCCTGGCAGACACTAAGTTGAACATGAGCCAGCAACGTACTCCTGCAGCACACAAGTCAAACGGTATCCTGGGCTGCATTAGGAAGAGCACTGCCTCCTGGTCAGGGAAGTGATCCTTCCCCTCTACTCACTGGTGAGACACACCTGGAGCACTGTGTCCAGTTCCGGCTTCCCAGTATAGAAGAGACATGGACATACTGTACAGAGTCCAGCAAAGGGCCACAAAGATGATTAAGCAATATCTGACATGAGGTTGAGAGACCTGAGACTGTTCAGCCAAAGACAGCTGAGGTGGATTTTATCATTATGTATAAATACCTGATGGAAGGGAGTAAAAAAGATGCAGCCAGACTCTTCTCAGTGGTATCCAGTGAAAAAAGAGGCAACGGGCACAAACTGAAGTACAGGAAAAGTCACTTAAACATAAGAAAAAAGTTTTTTACTCTAAGGATGATCAAACACTGTAATCAATTGCCCAGAGAAGTTATGGAGTCTCCATCCTTGGAAACAGTCAAAACCACACTGGAAATAGCTGTTAGCAACCTGCTTTTCATGACCATGTTTTGAGCATGAGGCTGGTCTAGGTCACCTCCAGAGGCTCCCACCTCAGTCACTCTGTGTGTAGGCTGTTGATAGGAGGAGCCTGGGTAGAGAAAAGGAGGCACAAGGGTAGCGTAAAGATGAGTTCAGGAAAAGAAAAAACAAAACAAAATGCAAATAACATAAGATCAGCCAGAGAACAAAAAAAGGGAAAGTTCTTCTTCAGTTCCTGCTAATGGCGATGAAGGTGACCTGCAGACCCAAGCTTCCCCTGATACAGAAGAGACTGCCTTGGACTCTCCATTAGGTCCATGTTTGAAAGATTTGGGATGGTAGGGCAGATAAGAAGGGATAAACTCATACTTTGATACTATTTGCAGAAAGACAAGTGACAGAATTGCAGGTTAGTAGTATAAGATTTCTTTGCAGTGCTGCAATAGTGTGTTAATGCCAATACCGATAATAAGCAATAGAATTTCAACTCTATCATTGCAACTTGGAGTGATGTAATTGTGAATTAATAGTACTACTAATAATAGTAGTGCGTTTATTAGACACTTAATGCATTATTGGTTTCTTAGAGATGTGCTACTTAATCAATAAACATCTTAGCTATCTCCATGGGTTATGTCAAGTCTCCAATCTAAAGGTGGGAGCACCACATATCTACTGCTAAGAACATTATTGGATGTTTTTAATCAGCTTACTTTTTGTACCAGCAAATGTTAAGAATGCTTAAGACCTTATGCTTATTAATACAAAGAGTATGTCAGAAACGGAAATAGAGTAAGAAATAAAGTCATAGTATCTTCTTTCTATTTCTTATCAATTGCAAGATCAAACTGACTGCCAGAAAGTGCATGAATCACTGTCAAATACAATATGTAATGTCATGATATTTAAGCTCTGTAAGCTAATTATGATGGAGTGTTTCCAATGGTCTTTTAACAAAGATTATTAACAACATCTAAGAATTAAATACAGCTAATAATTAAAAGGTAATCCTTAATCAGAATGAGATTCTGAGTGTTTAACAGAACTCAAACATGGGGGGAGGGTCTGTATTTCCAACTTGGCTTCAATGCACCCAATCAGGGTAATTAAAGGACTCATAAAATGTTTTGAGTCACCTTACTGCCTCAACTAAAACGGAAGATAGCCACTGAAAAATAATTTGTCATAAAGTATAATTTACAATAGTTACAGAATAAAATTAGATTAACACTATGCTCAGTGCTACTCTGCAAAAGATCCAGGGATCCATTTTGCTATAGAGAGCACTGCTACCTAAAAAAAACCTGTCCACTTTTTGTACAACTACCCGATTAACATTTATATCACAGACTATTAATTTTAAGAGTACTTCATTCAAGCAACATCTTTCAGCTTGCCAAACAAAAAGGAAAACATTACTTATAACAGTGCAAGACTTGCTTAGGAGCTGATAGGGTCCAGAAAGGTGGCCATGTTTCTTCAAAGCAGTATGTGAGGTATTCACGGACAGGGCAGCTTGAGAGAACATTTCAGAGCAACTCAAGCAGCACTAATGAGGAGATGGTTACCTACACTGCAAGAACATGTCCGAGCCAGGAGCTGCTGGTAACTGGAACTGACAGGTCTTGTCTTATTTTCATCTCGACATAATGTGAAAACAAGGCAGCTTTCTCCCTCCACCCTCCACAACCTGGAACTTGTCTCACTTACAACTTAAACACTGCTGCATATGGTGGATAAGGAGAAAAAAGCAAACAGGGAAAAAGGAAAACGATTCATCTATTTTGATTATTCAGTTCGCTGGAAAACTCCTAGCTTGAATAGCCTGTTAATTAATAACTCAAACATTTCGTTTTAATACCTGCATCAAATCTTGCACTGTGGATCACTATCTGGTCCAAAAAAACCAGCCACACACTGCTGAACTCTTAATATCTTGGAGGCTGCAGAGTAGCTGACAGTTTCGCATTAAGCTACTCACATAAAAATTGAGGGAAGGAACACAAGGAGTTACTTTCTAAGCTCCTCGTGATCCTGAGAGCTAATTTTTCTTTTTAGTGATTGCTTTCATATGAAGTGGCCAATGATTAATACACGACGACCACAGACAGCATATTTGCAAAAGTGACTTCAACCATCCTTGTGCTCACTCAAGTATTCCACATGGCCAGAGCACTGAGCAACGTGTTTTTCCTCTAACAATGTTTCTTTCATATAAATGTGTGCAGCCTTAAGACAAACGAGTATTTACAGCAAGCACTTAACTTTGCAAAACAGGCAGCATCAAGGCAAATATCGCCTTTTACTTTTCCCCTAAGGTGTTCCTATACTGTGTGAATCAAAACATGCAAACCAGCTTACCTGATCCGCCATATCAAGTCTAGCTTTGTGATGGAGAAGAAAATCCACCGCTGATGTATGACTTCTTGCAACAGCAAAATGGAACGCAGTGCGCTTTAGCTGAAATAAGCAAAGCTTCGGTTGTCAAGCCCATAATACAGTTCTTTTCCTTGTGCAGTTGATCGAGATTTCTGAATTCACTCCATATTTCTCCTTCAACAGCCATGCTTGGTCTTTATCTGCCTTTTGTTCCCTTGGATAGAATTTAGGTATTGATCTTAAAGATTTCTTGTATAACCAGAATGATTTAGTTACTCTGTGTAGCATCCTCCCTCCACTGAAATTCACTAAAATGTCAAAGTGGGATTAAGTAATCATATACTGCCTGGAGGAGATGCATGCAGTACAAGAAGCATTCACGTTTACTATTTTATGGTGGGATTTATGACGTGCATTTATGGCAGAAAAAGCCTCCTGCACAGAAGTAGTTCTATCAACAAAACTCACCTTTTGGCAGCCTTGCTTATTTGGCTTGGGAGTACAGGGGCAGGAATGATCAACATGAACGAAAGAATGGTTTTGCAAGTATAAGCTACGTTCCCACTAGGTGAATCAATCAATGCACCACACCCACGCAGCTATGCTAGTAAAACTCTCGTATTATAGTTCTGATGTAAGGATAACAGAGTAAAGATTCAAACTACTGGACTGGAAAAGTATTTAGCTTAATTTCCTGAATTTTGGAAAGCAATAAGGAAGCAAGTACTTTTTAAGTGACTTTTTAGAGTACTATGTAATTGATGGGAACACTCTCATTGTTCAAGTGAAGGTTATTCGAAAGAAACCTTTTCACAAACAAACCAAGGAATGCACCTGTACTATTTCCTCAATTCTCCAGTCAGGAAAAATGCAAGTTTTTTCAGAAGCCATGATAAAGTAACATGGGATGTTCATGGGTAGACGATTCATATGTAGCCACTGAGGGCAAACTGTTCTCCACAACTCCCAGATCGTTATCACAACTGCTCCATTGCTGTTGAACTACCTCTTGTGTGGAACATAGCTCTACATATTGTTACTGTGAAGTGTACATTCTCAGATTTTAGGCCTAGAGTTGATGTTAGCATAAGAAACGCATTTTTTTCTCTCTGGGGTAAATCCGAACTCTGATCTCAGTCTGGAGGCAGAGGATGTGGTAGAATGCTCCCGTGGTTCCATACAAACCAAACGATAACATTTCATACCTGAAATTTGTAATGCTAGCAGCATAAATTCATTCTCAAAGTGACTGTGAGGTTAAGTCCTCCCACTCTGAAAGATGGAAAACTTAAGAAATTAGTCACCTGAGAACACAGAGTAAATACTAGACCAGGGACCACAACTCAGAAGTCCTTAGTTCCCAATGTGATACAGTGACTAGTGGCTAAATGCAAAGGCCTGTGAGTTATGCTGCACAATCTTACTGTCCATACTGGATGTGTGAAACATTTCTTAATCAGGTCCTAGAAGAGACTCCACAGCCCCACCACCTTGCCATTGATGGGCCTAGCCTGCTGAGATACCACCATGCAACCCCGAGGAGTCACGTTTCAGATCAGTGATCTGTCAGATGCTTCATACTCACAGTATCTACAGCATTTATATTAACATTCTTTTTAAACAGCTTTTCCATGGTTTCCAAATTGTTCATTTTAGCAGCATACTGAAATTCTCTCTCATCTGGCAATACTGTGGAAAAATACAATGAAAAAATTGTATTACTAAAAAAATAGCCATAACCAACTTAAGGCATGATGATACCGTTCTCACTTTCTGTTATTTGTCCTGATTTTGTATGTTATGAATCACTAGCTTCTCATCATAGAAGTGTTCCAGGATTACATTTTTCTCCTCTAGAGACAGCTGGCTGATGTTTCTAGTTTCAACTTTAAAATGCAAATAGAGGTAGACTTTTCACAGCATGGATTACTATTATTTGCACTGCTCACAGGCACAAGAGTTCATTTATGAAGCTCTTGCCATCTAAAAGGGTCCCAAAGTATTTTATAGGCATAGCACTGAACAGTAGAAAATGCAGCATTTATTTCCTATTCTTGGAAAAGCTGCTGTTTTAAAACAGAACACACCACCAAAATACAGAAAAATGTATAGCAGTAAACAAACCATATGACCTAACTGAAAAAAACAACCCTGAAACAAACCAGGAATTTACAAGGGGGGGAAGTGTGTAGTTGAACTCCAATTTGGCCACAATGTGGAATTTACTATTAAATTGAGACCTTTCTTTAACGTCTCAACCCAAAAATGAACATTTGTTTGGTCAACTAAAATAGCTGCAGCAGGCATTCAGACATCTAATATTCAGCAACTTTGGAAAATAAAATTCCAGTGTCTGGTAACTGGTTTAGCTAACTTAAGAGGTCAGAGTATTTCTCATATTTCTACCTTATAATTTAATTAATCACTTAGAAGAAATTAGTATAGCAGTTAAATCAGTTGCAGAAGTGTTAATAGATAATTTTTAATTTCCCAGCATATCACACTGAAAAAGTTAATCGCTTAAGTATCTTCTGTTTGGAATATTTTGGTGTGAAAGCCACTTTTCCAATGATATCACCAAAGAGGACAGCAGTCTCTGTTGAACTAGAAACTGCAGCAATTATCTGTTCCTTAGAGGCCTCCATGGAAGTTCATCCTACTGCATTATGTCTAAGTTCATTAACACCTAATGAGAATACAGTTTGAGGCCATATGACTCCAGAGCATATTAAGGAAAATCAGTGTGGCATTCACTTAATTGCAGTTTACATGTTACTCGTTATTATAATCTCAGTGGGAATAATCACAGTTGTACTGTACAAAACAAGCTAGTAATTGAACTAGACACTTGCAAAGCTGTTTCCAGTTTTCCTATTACATTATTCAAGCACCTCAAAGAACAGAAGAATCCTCCCAAAATTCTCTGGAAGTAATATTATTTGTTTGTTTTAAAACATGGGGGCACAGCCAAAAGGGGGAAAAAAAAAAAGCAGTTGCAAATAAAAATGCACCCCTGGCATTCAGCATCTGTGACAAGGAGTGTGGCTGACAGCAAAATCAGCATCACGAACAGGGATTATGTTCAAACACGCGCAAACCGACGGTCACGGGATATCTTGCTCCAGGCAAATTTGTGGCAAACATGGAAAGAAAACGTAAGGCTCCAATTAGCTGCAATTAATTACAATTAGGTCACATTCATTC